ATAAGGAGTATTCAAGTCAGTAAGGTGGGAAGGGGGCAAGTCCTCTAATAGCTGTAAGGGTGAACAGGAGATCCTTGTAGTTTATCCCAAACTGTATAGGAAGCCAAGATCGCATTTGAAGGAGCCTTTGAAATGGGATAGCCTTGTGGTGCCACTGTGACGCATTCGGTCTTTAAATGCACCCTTAGAAGGATGTGGTCCCTAAACTCACACACGGCCCTGTGTGTTGTAACCCCTTCTCCACTTTTGATGAGGAGCAGCGGTCTTGAGAAAAATCTCGTCACCAGGGATTGGCTGTGGACAGCTGCGGTCAGTCAAGGTATTCATATCTACGTCAGTGCAAGGAAATGGACTGGGTATTTCCAGGAGGTGGCAGCATGGACAGATCGAACAAGGAAAGAGTAGAGGAAGAAAGGATTTTGTAGTAGTTATGGTGACCAGATGTACGAGTAGGACCAGAGGTACCCACATATTTATTTGTTCATATTTCCATCCATCCATTTTCCACCACTTATCCTGGGTCGGGTTGCGGGCGCAGCAGTAGTCTAAGCAGGGATGCCTAGACCTCCCTCTCACCAGCCACCCCCTCCAGCTCCTCCGGGGGAATAGCAAGGCGTTCCCAAGCCAGCCGAGAGATATAATCTCTCCAGCACGTCCTGGGTCTGCCCCTGGGCCTCCTCCTGGTTGGAAACTCTTGGATCACCACCCCTCCCACCCAGAACCCCCCCGGGGGACATGGTCATATGCCTTTTCCAAATCCACAAAACACATGCAGATTGTTTGGGCAAACTCCCACGAATCCTCCAGTATCCTTGTGATTACGTCCCCTGACTCAACAAACAAACAAACAAATTTATTTTTGTATAGCGCATTATCACAACATTACATTGTCCCAAAGCGCTTTACAGCATCCCCACCCAAAGCCCCCAGTGAGTAAGCCATAGGCGACAGTGGCAAGAGGCGACTCCCTCGCAAAAGAAGAGACGTTCTGCTGGGGGTGGAAGCCAGACGCTCCAGGGCACCCTCACTGTGCGTTTGGGTCTGAAGGTCCATCCGGCATCTTTCCCTGCCACCCGGTCCACCTCACTACCAGGTGGTGATCAGTTGACAGCTCAGCTCCTCTCTTCACCCGAGCGTCCAAAACATATGGACACAGATCCGACGACACGATTACACAACTGCGCCCTCTGGTGCCAAGTGCACTTATGAACACCCTTGTGCTCGAACATGGTGTTCGTTAAGGACAAACTGTGATTAGCACGGAAATCCAATAAGAGATCACCGCTCGGATTCCGATCAGACAGGCCGTTCCTCCCAATCACACCCTTCCAGGTTTCACTGTCATTACCCACATGAGTATTAAAGTCCCCCAGCAGAATAATGGAGTCCCCAGTCTCCCCAGTCCAGCAGGGTAACATGGTCCTTTGATTTATTTCTCATGGTCATTTTCGAAACGCACTTAGTCTGGTATCTCACCCAGGACCAATTTGCCTTGGGAGACCCCCCCCCCCCCGACACCCCCCCCAGGAGCATATGCCCCTCCAGCATGATAAGATGCCGATTCATACGTTCCAGACATTATATTATATGGTACTTTTAAAAGCATCACTATTATAGCATTATAAAATCTTGGGTAATAAAATTTGCAGAGCGGGGAGTGGGGGGGTTAATTTTGTCATAAGGATTTCAGTATACGGACCCTCCTCTACTTATGAACTTTCAACTTACGAACTTTCAGACATACGAACGAAGAGGACTGTAAATCCAAATTGTGTTCATTGGGCTCCCGTTTTCTGCCCGCAGCATAATTTTTTTTTCCTGCGCCAATCCCGCCTAGTATGACTTCTGGCCTCTACTCCCGCTGCAGAGCAGTGTAGCGTGCGTACTCCCAGCATTCTAGTTCTTTGTACTTGCGTATACCCTTAAAATGATGTTGAATAACGACTTACGAACACTTCAAGTTACGAACGGCCGTTCCAAACGTAACTCGTACGTAAGTAGAGAAGCGTCTGTACTTCAATATGCCATATTACCATAATACCGGCCAAGCCTAGACTATTTACTTTAAAACTGTTTAGAAAACTTTACCCATTTCACTACACTGCTTGTACAGTATTTGTGTTTGTTGCAGTACATCTGCCTTCTTCTGGTGTGGTGGAATACTACTGCTGTAAGCATGCACTGACCGTGACCATCCGCATTCACAGTCAGAAGTATGAACACAAGCAGCCGCCCGCGCGCACGACCGTCCGCAGCCTGCAAGCGCATGCAGAAAACTGAAGTATGAACTGGCCTTAAGGTGTAGCCAAAAACATGGCAGGTCAGGCAATTCATAAGCCTGGAGAAGACAGACACCACCTACCCTGTGGTATCCATTGCAAAGTTGCGGGACTGAGTTGGGTGGCGCGTTGCCCAATTGCACACTGAGCGATCAAGTCGGGTCGCACGTGCTGTCCAATGGCACGGTCCGGTTACAGGAAAGAATTTAAGAGGAGGAAATTGGTAATAATTAAATAATAAACAACTGCTATCACAGAGATCACTTGAACCTAATATTGTATCGGCTGGAGAACTTGGGATGTCTGGGGGCTTCAGAGAATGGGGGTACCTGCAGAGTTGGCTAAAGGAGAAGTGTTCTGTATGACCCTATATTCACTGGGGAGGAATCAGATTGGTGAACATTAACTGTCAGTGACTGAGGTACTTTGAGTTTGACGTGGGCTCCAGCCATGCAGAATCCATTAAAGTTCTATTTTTGTGGTACGTCCTGTCGCGAATGCAAGCGGCCGAAATGGGTTTCCTCTGCAGGGTGGCCGGGCTCACCCTTAGAGATAGGGTGAGGAGCTCGGTCATTCGGGAGGGACTCAGTGTAGAGCCGCTGCTCCTCCGCATCGAGAGGAGCCAGATGAGGTGGCTATAGCATCGGATGCCTCCTGGACGCCTCCCTGGGGAGGTGTTCCGGGCATGTCTCACTGAAAGGAGGCCCTGGGGAGAACCCAGGACACTCTGGAGGGACTATGTCTCTCGGCTGGCCTGGGAACGCCTCTGGATTCCCCCGGAGGAGCTGGACGAAGTGGCCGGGGAGAGGGAAGTCTGGGTTTCCCTGCTTAGACTGCTCCCCCCCGCAACCCGACCCGGACAAGCGGTAGAGGATGGATGGATGGATGGTCCTGTCGCGTGTTCATTAAAATATCTTTATCAGCTCAATTTTGCTTACAGATGGTGTGGCACCCTATACATTAAAGGGGCTAGGATTATTTGCAGAATTATTGGTAACACTTCACTTGATGGGGCACAGATAGTAATAGGTTAGTTACTACTGAAGTACAAATCACAATCAAATCATCACAAATATAGTTCCTACTTCAGATATAATATGCGACACAATTCATTAACTTGTGTTATTCATTATTTGTTCCTTCAGTAGTTCACAACCTTTTACAAAATTAAGAGATATAGTAACAAACATAGCAACTGATAAAACATGCGTCACGATTCATTAACGATGAAATAACATGAGATCAGTATGTAACTAAAACTTAGTTTGTGGTTAACTGATACATAAGTACATAATACTATATTATTTTTGCCCCGTCAAGTAGTGTTGCCATTTAGGATTACTTTACATGCTTTCTGTCACTTTTAACCGGGTAAATTTCCGTTTTCACCTTAAGGTCCTCTAAGTAACTTGCTATTTTGTTGGCCGTGCAGTACGACAGTAAAAGTAAAAAAAATAATAATAATAATTGAAAGCCTTCATATTTTTCTATTGTCAATGCTCTTGCTTATCGGAGCCTCTTGTTATGCTACTTGCCTAGGCTAGGGGCATAGGCTACATTTCGTGTAAAGGGGACATTACACAAGGTCTTCACGCTACTTCCGTTTTTCAGCTGGACAGCACTGCACTGGCCAGCGGGTCGCGTGCTACGTCCAGCTGGATAGGTGGTGTCTTGTTTGGGTAAAGTTATTAATTGTTTGGCCTCCCATACAAAAAAAAAGGCGATAACAAAGAGACCGTTTAGCCACGTACCGTGATCGTCCAGTTAATACACGAAATTTTAGATTGAAGCGCGAAGACGTGCATGAGCAGGAAGATGAGAAAGGCGATGTGGAACCACAGCGTGACGACCTGAAAGTAGAGGAAGCCCGAGGGTCCGTGCCACCGCAACTCACAGTAGACACAGAGGAAGGCGATCAGGAGGGCGAGCTGGGGAGAAGGAGAGAAGGGGTGATCAGAAAACGTGCAACACCTACGGCTGCCGGGTGTTGTTCTGTCCGGCAGGGGAAGAGTTAAGGTACCTCACACTGCCGCCCCCCTCCCAACAACACTAAACACTCTACAACTGCAGTTCTTGGCAAATTTAAAAGGAGGATATCAAAAATGCAGCTTTTATTAAAGTTTGCTAAGTTTTTACAAGATTAATTCGTCTCGATGGAAGAGCCCAGTAGAGCTCCTCTGAAGCCGTCAAGGGCTGCAGTGGGGAAAATCCAGTCTTTATTAAACGTTTACAACTGTTTCTTACACTATTAGCAATATTAAACCGTAGAACTGGTACGACATGCACCGAAATGTGTGCGATCGCATGCCGGAGGTTAAGGTGGATCTGTGGGCGTGAAAACTTTCGGTTTGTAATGAAAAAGAAGAATGTTGTACGGGGAGGCGTTTATTTCAGTGCTTTGTTATGACTCCAAATGGAGAAATAAATAAGAGCGGATTTCTGGCACTGCGTAGTATCGCACTGAAAACGATGGCCGCTGAAGACGGTTTCTCTTACCACTTGGCCGATCTCCAGCATCCCCCTGTAGGATTTATAGTAGCCGGTATTTACATTAACTCCGTAGTAAGTACTCGTCGTAGTAGTGGTGGTGGTCGTGGTTTTGATTACGGTGTTAGACATGGCGTATTGAAAAGAAATGCAGCGATGGGTCTCAAAAGCACACGATCAATATGGACTCTCTGAAAAAGAGGACGAGGCGTGGCTTTTTTTCGACGAAGAGCCCAGTAAATACTCAACGGGCCGCTGCAGAACACCGCTATCGATGCACATCACACCAATAACAGGACTCCTCATGAGGCAAACTGGCAACTTTTTAACCCAGACATCCACAACTAATGTATGAAATTATCTCTCTGAACCAGACCACCAAGTCCAGAAATATATATCAGATTTGCCCATGTGCAAAACATTTGGGTGTATCAGTGTGTTCATTTGAGTTTCTATTTGAATTAAATAAGTTAAATAACTAACATAATGATTATAAAACAATATTTAACCTCAAACTCAATATCTATTATATATCATTATAAAGAATGCTTTATTATTATTATTATTTTCATTTCATTGTAATGCTTATTATTTTCAGCACACAATAAACAAAATCTTACAGATGTCTTTACTTGTTGTGATTCCATTGTAACATACTTGCAAACATCTTGCAAGAAAGTCTTATGCTTTGTATAAATGTGTAGCTGTCTGAAGCACTAGTGGCTGTTTGCTGTGATTGATGTCTTCTCAGCCACATCACTGTCCAAGTGTACTTCGGGTGCAGGGAGGTCACGTGTTCCATGACCTTCACGCTTGCTGATGTTCGTGGTTTCCTGATTTCCATGCGCTAAAGCTGATGAACGCATGAGCAACATAGCAGAGAGTCACCAAGACCGCAAAGCCCTGAAAAGAAGAATCAGAGGAGGCCACATTTAGGAAGGGGTATTTCATCTGACCATGTTTTTAGGCACGTCATTAAAAGATGGAGAAAGTTTGATCAGAGGTGACCTGGTCAGGGAGTGGGGACACATAGACTGGTGATGTGAGCCTCAGTCTTTGTATTTCGATTCGCCCCAAGGCAGTAAAAAATCCAACAGTTTTACAACCATTAATCCACGCCAATATCAGTAGAGATGGCAATTTCAGCACCCAGGATCGATCCGTTCCGAAGACGTCCGAAACTTCTGGTCTCGTTACGGGGTTAACGAAATGTTTCGAAACACCAGTCACGTGACCGCCGTGTCATTGTTCACGGCGAGGGGGAAAAAACCCCGGAAAAATCGGTGCGCGTTGGGTGTTTGGGGCGTTGTTGGTTTGAGCGAGTGGTTTGGCGATTATTATTATTTGAAGTCCAATTGTATTAGTGAAACAGGTTAGCAGTTAGTGTGATTTAGGCATAAGTATAGTGAGGGACGTATAGTTTTAATAGGTGTAATATCAAGGTTTTGCTTAGATTTAGTTAGAAACATAACTCAAAAAGCTATAGTACGTATAGACACCTAGATTACATATACATATATTAACATTGCTAACATAGACAAAGACTGTTGTCTGAAACTGCGTTTTTGCACTGTTCTATTCTATACAAATCAATTAAAACTAAACCATTCCTATAACCTGCTCAACATACACAAATCTAGATAGGATAAGTATTGTAACCTCAGTAGCTAATTAATTACTATGCACACTCAATACTCGGATGGTATTTAAATACAGAAATTATGTTTTAACAATACACAACCATGGGAACAAATAATCTCTATAAATGATATAAGACCCAGTTTAGGTTTTGATTGACTGGGGGAAATTCTGGTGCATCCAAACATGCAAACAATGCAGATAATGCCAAACAGACAAGGTACAAATACTGTACACATGGTGTGAGCAAAGTAAACATACTGCAGCAGATTTAAGAAGTACATAGTACACTAATGGATGTAAAATCTCGAGGAGCAGAATGTGATACTAAACGTGAATATTTAAAGATGAGAATAATAATCATCTGCAAATAAATTATGTGCAGTTAGACCACAAGGCACCGGACTGTATTATAACAAGAGAAGATGCTTCCTGACGTATTATGGCTATGGATGGGGAGTGCAACGCCTGGAGAAAGTGTGATGTCGGTCACCAGTTGTCTGACGGCTTCGGGCAGCGATAATCCCCAGTAGCATTTTTAGCACAGCATGGTGGAAGAAGCCGGTGGATAAATATGCTCCAATATCGAACCCACTGAAGTGGACGTGCAGACTTGTTCATAATATTGCTAACATTCTCTTCTCTGCTTCTAATATTAGTGCAAGAGAGGTTTCGCGACCATACACAAGAGACAATAATCTAACGTTTTTATGATTCGTACTGGTTGAATTACGGTTGGCAAAAAGTTATCACACGCTAATTTCAGATATAGGCTACCTATGACAGAATATAAAAATAATCAAAAAGAAATTATATTGTATTATGCACATTTTTGACAATGACATTCGAAACTTGCAGCAATAGGTTTTTATTCTGCCGTATTTGCTATAGCTGCAGTTCCGGTTTTTGCCAGCAGACTGTGAAACTTTTCGAACCGCTTCGAAACATTGTTTGTTTCGAATGTTTCGAAATTGTTTTGATGATTCGAAATTGCCATCTCTAAATATCAGTGTAATATATATTGTCCACAATTATTCTGTCCTGGAACACTCTGCAACATAACCTGGTAATGACCTCTTATATCTTATATCGACACTGTAACCACCTTTCTCCAGTGTTCCCAGACCAGTCCTCAGGGCACACTGGACGGATCCCAGTTCCCAGCATGCCTGTAAGGTATTTAGGGCCCCTGATTGCTTGAGTCAGGTGTTCTGGGATCTCCCTTAATCCCTTCTAAATCTGTGCTACTTTGTCTTTAAGTGTTTTGTAATTGCAAGACTGGGTGTTTACACCTTAATTTCCCTGCAGGGATTAATAATCTATAGCATCCATGTTAATTAGTGCCTGATAGTTACAGCACTCCGCTTAGTTGACTTGGTATTCTCATAATTAAGTCAATAAAGCAATTAAGGGACTGAGACTGAGAAAAAAACACTGCTGCCATGAGGAGAGGAGCCTGGGTTTGAAATCGAGCGTGGGTGGGATTATTCTACACTCAGTCCTGGCCTGGTTCAGCCCACTTAGCACTGGGTACTTCACTGGATCTCTGGGTGGGTTAAATTAGACAGTGATTTGAATCTCAGTCACCACAGGCTTTTCAAAGCCTCATATTCCTTCTGCTGCTGTCCCTCGATACGCGAACCCCGAAATCCGGAAATCCTTGCTTTTCAGGGTACATTACAGTGGAAGCTGCCCAGCAGTGGAAGGTGTGCTGCCCTCTTCTGGCCCGATGGAGCGATGTTGCGTCCAGGATGCTGGCCACCAAGTAGAGTACGGCGCCACTACCGTTAAACAACAATGCCTGTGAGACAGATAGAGGAGCAGACAGAGACATCGAGGCAATAAACAGCCTGACCTCTCATTCATTCATCTGAGAGGAACTTTTGTTGAAGACTGTGGATTTTTTCTCCCAAGGGAACCTTCTACATACCACAGTCCTCCAGGGCACCAGAGGGATCCTGTAGTAGGCCGAGGTCAGGTACATGATGAAGAAGAATACAGTCAGCAGCCAGCAGACCACCGCTATAAACATCACCCAGCCCAGTGCCGGGACACTGGAGTAATCCGTGCCCGCGATCAGCATCCACACCAGAAGGCCAAAAACCTGGTGAAAGTGAAGGAGCACAGCATACAGACACCCCAGTTTACATTTGTGCAGCTGCAGTCAGACCGTTGTATAGTCTGTCTGCAGCTGCAAGCTACAAAATGGTGAGGGTTCAAAATTCAGAGTGGGTGGGATTGGGGTCCCCTGCCAAGTGGTGGCCTTCCCGTTTTCGGCTGCCATTCCGAGTTTTCAGCTTCGTAGTCAGACTTTCCTTGTCTCACATCTTAGGGGCTGGGCTTGGGCCACCCCAAGCAAGCAGTTTTTACTTTTAACGTGGACTTTTTTAAGTCACAAACACCCCCAGCCCCTTCAAAGCATCCTGTGGTCCGATCTATGTCTCCGATCTGGAGGCAGAAGGGCATGACATTAAGAAACATCTCTATCATCTAACAATGTGCAGTGCTTACAAATTATTGCTTGAAAAGAGAGGAGGGAAAACTCTGCTTGAGGCCACCGTGTGTAACTGGCAGGATGTCTGAGAGCCTCGTCTTCCTGTGAGTTACGCCCCAGCAGATTCAAGTCTGTCTCTGAGTGTTTGAAAGTCTTGAACTGCAATCATGCATGGCACTGCAGGGGAAGTTTGCAGTGTGAGCGTATCTGCTTGTCCAACCTGGAGGAGATGACCCCTCCTGCTGTACGGGTACCACACAGAGAGGGCGTCATAGGTTACCATAATGACTAGTTCTATGCAGAAATGTTGCTTCTGGTCTGTGGGGGCAAGTCGTACAGGGAAAGCAGGGTGGTCTATCACTGACTGTTTTTCAGCAGACTCCGATTCCCGGCTGCTGGTTTCACAGGAAACGTTTATCTCTTGATCTGTTTTTGCAAGCAGCGCATAATTGGTCTGGTCTCCCGTTGGGCGAAAGGCCTCTTTTACTAATAAAAAAAGTGAACAGTTCACACTATCAACCTGAGAATACCTAGGTGGAGGAAAATTACTCCTGCAGCACTGAACACTACAAGCAAATCCCATGTATAAACATAACGTGTTTTACGTTATTGCGCTTGATGGTATCTTGTCCTGCAAAACACATTTTTTTTAAATGCACAAATATCAGTTTCCTTCTCCTATTTCTGCTGACCATATGTCGGCCCAACGAGGAAACAGGAAGATAAACTGTGAGTCTCCATCCTGTAACGCGAGTTGGAGGAAATCTCCCCAGGTCTGCCTTATCTTATTGTTGAAAAATCCAAATCCGTTTTATTTCCAATACTGCTACCATACTGTCGATTTTACAGTACCACAATCCATGAAGTCCCGTTATATGCAATATCGAATACATTCGCAAAACACAAATTTTAATTAACTTAAATACGTGACACTGCAAGCAATGAAAAGTAACTAAAAGTTCAGTGGAAAGTCGGACTTACAATTTCGGCGACAGTGAGGCGCCCCGGCGCCGTGCGGGTGAATCGCCCGTCGTAGAGCTGCGCTGAGCCGGGCAGGTTTCCCGGCTCCGGGCTCGGGGGGCTTATGACACGGCTGGACCTGGTGCTGTCGCTCATGACGCCCCTTCTCAATTAAAAGAAACGCTGTAACAGGCAATCCCGATTTCCGAATGCCTCTGGCCACAGATCCGAGTAATTCGCCCCTCAATCACTGAACAAAAAAATATCCACGTTTTAAAGAGCAGAAACAGTCAATCGTAAAAATTCTATTGTATTCTTCTTTCCATCTTTCTGACATTCTCTCAAAATTACGCACGCAGTTTTGTTTTTAATCCTATGCTGTGTTCTGGCACGCAATCCTCCTTAAGACTCACAAACTGAAAACGGTCATCCGCTGGTCAGATGTAGGATATGCATTCTTTACTCTGGAAAACACGGACAGGAGAATGGGACAGGGGGGAACCGGAGGGGAGGGGGGGGGGTCCGTTTTCGGCCAGTTTCATAGTTTCTTGTATTTGTACTGTGCCACTTTAAACAAGACACATTAGCATTTGACCTAGGCAGTAATGTGTTAGCAAGGCAAAAGGGGAGGTATTTTATTGTTTGACTGTAGCATTAATTGGTACCATTCCCGCCGTTTTGTAACATATTAAACATGTAGGCCTGCATGTCCGTTTCCGTGTTCTTCCATTGTACCGCTTACGTACTGTATGTAAATACTGCCTTATTTAACGATTTGACTTTTGCACTGCGTTGTCACTTTAAGGTAAATTGCACACTGTTTATTGCCGTTTACTGTCTTGTTTAATGAATTTATGTCTCCTGTTTCACAGTGTTGAAGCTGGGCAACCAAGCATTTCACTGTACATTGTACGGAATATAACTCTGTACTGTATGTGTATCTTGATTAACTTATTAGATGGTACCGGGATTAGATACTGCAGAATTAGCAACTCCTCTTTTCATTTAATTGGGCATTTTGACGTGTTAAATTTGGTACATTGAAATTTTAGATTTTTGAGGTTAATCTTCAGAAGTATTTTAGATTCCCTTCAAGATACAGAGACGAATCATAACACGGTTATTCTCGAGGACGGATACATGTATTCAAAAGGAAACTTTACACTAGTGACAGAACTTTGCCAGCAGATGGCGACAGAGTCATTGCTTTACTTCTCCATCAAGGCAAACGGAAAAACCAGGCGATTTGCGAATTCCCCCCCTCCAGCATTTTAGTAATTATTATTCTGTTTTTTTTTCTATTACCGCTTTTTATGGAGTGCGGTAATAAGATGTAACAGCGCAGATGACGTACCTGTACCATATCTGTTATTCAAAAAGTCGGCATTAGGGGGCAGTAGAGACACACGTCAGTCAAGTCTAAGTACTCCGGTAGTGGAAACTGAAGCAAAAGGCTGCATTTTAAATTGTGCACAATTGTGTGCGTACACACAGAATATCGCCATTAAAGACACACTAAAGAAACTAAAAATAAATTTATTACAAGACAGCCGTATATTTAATGGGGTTGGTAAATTGTTTAAAACCCATCGGTGATAGTTGAGACTACTGGATTTTGTTATGAAAGTGAAGGTAATTGACAGACAGGAAGTTACTAGGTGGCGGTACTGTGGGTGACCTGGTGACCTAAAGCTTGCCAAAAGATCCCTGTGGGCGAAAGTGGGCTGGGCGGGATGGGTCTTGTGGTTCGTACTGTGGTGGGACACTGCGCTTCGTCATCAGCTGCTTGTGACCCGAGGGCTTGTGTGGAAAGGTCGCCATGGCAACCCTGCGGATGTGGTTAGCCAGAGTTAACGAGTTTGCAGTCGTAGTTTGGTAGGGTTGCCTGCTTGCTGATGTTCTAGCGTGACCCATAAGTGTCCCATAAACAACTGCAGGTGACCCCACACTGAGACCTGAGATGCGGGGACCTGGACAAGGTGTGGGAGGTGCAGGCATATCCCATTGGAATGCCTGACAATATGACTGTTTTATCTTTGTTTACTGAGTCACAGTCATGAACATATGGCTGGGTGTTTTACTGGAACGGTTCAGTGCCTCACTCATTGGTCCAACAGCAGAGCCCTCTTGGGATTTGAAGCAGAATCTGTACCCTTAGCCTCAGACTCTGGCATGTAGGATCCTTGTGTGGGGGCCTCCTTCTCTCTTCTTCACTTTGTCACTTCACATTTCCAACCTCGCTGTATTTATTTATGAGCAAAATTTAAGAATCACCTTCGCTATAGGGTACAGTCTGACGGCAGCTCTGTGTTATCCATCCGCTACCACCCCACAGTGGGCTGAGGCGTGGAGGTGTATCTGTAAATCGCAGGGAGAAGAGGCATCGATCCCACCCCCCCCAACCCCCCCCAGCACTAACGTGGACATCCGGGCCACTACCTGAAACTTCGATTAAACTTCAGGGTCATTATTGATGCTTCTATTTCAATAATTAAATAATGTCCAGTGGTTGATTTTTAATTCCTAAAATGATGATAAATAAACTATAAATTGGCTGAATGAAACGGGTCTGACGCGGGAACAGCAGTCGAGATGTCATTAGTTACGGGACAATGTACTTAGATGAAAACCACCTGAAACGTGGGAATACTTTTTCAAAGTTGTTTTTAAAGGTGAGTCATTTAAAAATGGCAAATAGCAAAGTGTCGTCCTGAAGACCTCAGTCTAAAATGCAATATGGGTAATGAGTGATGCCTTTTACTTACTAAAAGCTAAATAATAGCCACAAAGATGAAGGAATGGCAGCTAAATCGATAACTGTCCAGATGATGCGTTAGCTGATGTGAGATCTGAAGATCTGAATTCCTCCATCACCTATCCATGTCCAAAAACTGAGGCTGGGGTACACCCTGGATGAGATACTGGTCCATCCTATGCTCCGACACTCCCCCTTCAATAAACCTTTTCTCTTAAACCTCTAAAAAGGAAAATCTGCGCAGATATTGCTCTTACCGAAGGAAATCTGCGGATTAATCACGTTTCGAATCCCACTTTTCAGGCCATTAAGTGCACACGTGAAGTGCCGAGAGTTTACAAAGAGGCGACAATTAATTACAGTGACAGAAACACCGTAATTACAGTGAAAGAAACACCGTAATTACAGTGACAGAAACACCGTAATTAGCGTCCACTGAGCCGTAAAGCTTTCATTCTTTTTGTTTAGGTCTGCTTATAGAGTACATTTTCATCTGCGATTTTACACTCTGATTAAGGGCCTGACTGGGCAGGCAGACTGTATCAAAGTGATTTACAGTTAATTGCAGGCGGGGTCGCGAGGTGATTAATGGTTTAACGATGGTTAAAACGCATGTTCCGCTTTCACATCCAAGCCCGAGTCTCTCGTTTCTGTTGTGGATTGAGGGTTACGCCGCCTGACTAAGCCAACTGCATGGAAATTTAGTTGCCAGGGGCAGGTGTGCGAGGGCTGTTTAATGGAGGTGTGCGGCTCTGTGGCTTAGGCCTCTGTGCCTGTGAGCGGAAGGTTGTTGGCTTGAATCCCATGCTTGGCACATCTGTGTTGGGCCCTTGAGCAAGGTCTCCAATCCCCTGAAAAATGCTGATGGATGGTTGATCCTGCACTCAGATCCCAAGATCCATTCTCAGTTCTATATTTGTGTGTATGTCTTAAGGAGAGTAAGATGGGATATGTAAAACACATTCCGTTTCTGTACTCGTACGTTTTGTGTGTGTCTCTTTCTGGGACGGAGGGGGCAGGGTCACAGGTTCTGTGTGTGTGTGTGTGTGTGTGTGTGTCTGGGGGGGGGTCACAGGTGGGGTGTTCTGATCCTGCCACCCGGCCACAGGTGCAGTGTGTGTGTCATTCCATTTAATCACAGGTGTGTGTGCTTGTGCACATGCCCGCACTGTGTCCTTGGGTGTCCCAGTCTGCAGTGTGTGTGGTATTTTTCTCCCTTCCAGTCAGAGCCGGGTGCACCTGTGTATGAGTGTGTCTGTGTGTGCATGTTTGCATTCCTCTTTTCCTTCCCGCCTCCATAACGCTCAGTCGCAGGTGCGCCTCTGTCCCCACCGTCACCCCTGTGTGTCCCTGTGCTCCCGGTTCCCCCGCTGGCCCACCGCGCCTCCTCGCGGTGTGTGGCTTCGCTCCCGCTGCTCGTGCACCATCTGCCCGCCGGAACAGTGCAGGGCACAGACAGGATAAGCTGTGGCGGAATGACCCGGAAGCCGAGGAAGTCTGCGTTCTTTGCCACATGAAGGGCGCTGCCCTCTCACACTTTGCCACATGAGAATTGTGGCCACGGGCGTTCAGATCATCGGAACTGGAAAGTTATTACCGGGGTGGTGTCTGGCAGGAAGGAGAAGCGAGTTTGCAAGCAGGAGGCCGAAGCCCTGAGGTGAAGCTCTTCCTCTAGCCAGCCTCCTCCTCATCCTCACCCTCCCAGGCTCTCCTAGCCTCGCGCATCAGCTCGCTTACGCTAGATAGCGAAGCTTGTTTTCTGAGTCCTTAGTTCCTGAGGGTGTAAAATTGTCTGCATCCCTGCCCACATTTGCTGACTCTTGTGGGTCACCTTGCAATCAGAAGAGCCAGGTTTTTCTGAAGGTCTTAAACTGGACACCACTGACTGAAAGGCTGTATACATAAGTTACACACATTTTCTCAAAAACGATTAAATCAATGTTCACCCGCTTTAAATGGCATTTTAAGATGACATTTCAAAAGATTCACTCAGTTCCAGAGCACAAAGACTAAAGCCTGATCCCTTATCATCTGAAGAATACAATTTTTTGCACATTGAGTTTAAAAACAACCCAGTCCAGATGATTTATTCAGTAAGATGGAGACCAGTGTTTTCGAATCAGCTATGGAAACACTGAATGACCTCATTGTGTCTTGGGCAAGCGGTCAAATCAAAATGCAATGGCTTCTTTCAGATGTAAATCCCCAGCATTGGTTCAATTATGGACGGGGGGGTCATAAGAAATTTGGACGCTGGTGATATGGGGTGAGCTGGTGAGCCCCCCCCCCACCCCGTCAATGGACTGGCTTGGTTCTATAGCCAGGTTTACCATGATTTACTGTAATGTTTCCACAAGAATTTTGCGCGCCAAAAAAACACAAAAGCCGAGTTTGTGAAAAGATTGAATGTGATTCCCAGTGTGTACAGAAGATGGGATGACAGTGAATTCTGCTCCTTGTGTTTCGGATGGTTACACTCTTTAATGTACCCTGTGAATGTGAAGTATCACTCGTCTATCCATTGTCTGAAAAACAGACCCGGCACATGTTCCCCCGGAGGTATGAGGAGGATCTCTCTAGAACAGCCTGGGGTGCTAAACCCGTTCAGGTAAAAGGACACATGTCAGCAGGTGTAGCAACAGTGCCCCCTAGAGGTATGTCCACCCCCATTCCTCACCCTGCCTGCTGGCCAAATACAAACTTCTTCTGAGTGCTATGTCAGCTTCATGCA